AAACGCTGGCTTTTCGTTTTCGTGTGGACGGAAACACCTGGGGACACTCCTAGAAAAATTGGGTAGCTTCTCATAACCCCTACCCTAGCTATGACCAAAATCTGCGATTCCCCTACCCTATTTATGAGCTGACAAAAATTCGATACCCCATTAATGACCGTTGTGGAATGTACAGAGTTGCGCTAAACATGATTTATGAAGGGCTTTTACTGATGGTCTTATCGATAATAATGAAAAGGTAGCTTCTAAAAAACATACACAATTCAAGACTGGAGTGGAAATATGCTCAAAATGTCCAAAATCGATACCCTATTTAAGACCAAAACGGCTGAAAACCCATACTCTTGGGGGCTGCACATATATATGTAGCTGATAGAAGGGAGTATCCCATGGGAGAAAAACATTTTGAAAATGGAACGTTTCGAACGATGACGTTACGATACTCATGTGCCGTTGATTGTTGTGTATTTAAATTCCTCCGGCGTAGTGTGGACGGAAAATGTTTGATGCGTTTTCAGATCGGAGTGAAACCATCGTTTTCAAATTCCTCCGGTGTAGTGTGGAACGGGCCTTACAGACCCAGCTCAGAATATATTTTGGAGCACTTTTGAACAGATTTGTTTACGCATCCAAGAGAAAGATTCATTTAGGTTCAAGATTTAATTCCATGCAAATGACTTCAAAATTCACTCCTCTGTAGGACACATGCAAAACAATATTTTGTAATTTACAGGGTCGCAGTATGTTTTTTCTTTTTTTTTTCGAAAAATGCTTCAAACTCCTTACAGAATATTTACTTTGGACTTACTGAAATCTCATGTTCTTAAAAAGCCATTACACCAACATGATAACTTTCACATAGCTTTAACTAACTTATAATGCCTTTAATTAAAAGTGCCGTAAAAAGATGGTCTGAATTATAAGCCTTGCGGTTTCTTCGCCTCCTCTGTGTCTCTTCTCAACTTTTCTTCATTAATTTATTGACAGCGGAAACCCATTAACCGGTCAATAGTGGGCTACAAAAATCTGGCTGTATAATTAAGGGGTTCTTTAAATAAGGAAATGATTGATTGAGCTTTTGTTTGAGCCAGAATAAAATGGCCATAACTTTTAATGGGGTGGCCGTAACGGGGGGGTGNTGGCCGTAAGGTGGGGTTTCCTCTGGGAACGGGGTTCCACTATACCGGTAAGTCTTTTTTTTTTACTTTACATGCGTAGCAAATATAATAAATAGAAGAATGTATAACATTCGAAAGAGCCTAATGTGACTATAACTTGTGCACATGGCGAAAAGCGATCAGCGGATTGTATCTCTGTGCCAGGCCAATCTTACAAAGCTTCAAACATGAGAAATGTCCAAACACTCTACCAGGTAGCAATATCTTTACACTTTTTTCACTAGAGGTTCTTTTGGCTTAGCTGGTAATGGCTCTCTCTTTCTTGCGTGGCAAAAAAGCATGAAGCCTATTATAGCGAGGACAGATACCACTCCAAGCAAACAGCCGAGGATAATTATTATTATTATTGTGTTTTGATTAGAAGAGGCAACGCGTCGTCCTGAAAGAAATTAAAAGAATTCACATTAACTTTACTAGAAGGAAACATTTTAGGTATTTTTTCCATTACACCATTTTTCTTTTATAATATCCAGGTTGAAATTTGTAAAATCTTAAGAAATATTTCAAGAATAAACCCAAGGCTGAGATTTTGAAAAGAATAACTTTGTGTGCTGAAAATTTGTAAGTACGTATAAAACTCTTCCTTTCTTTAAGCGGCGAAACTAGCCAACCAAAAACAGCATTAGCCATATGTTCGATGTTTATGTAAGACTATACTATGTCAGGCTATATTGCCAGCAGTCTGGCTCCAAAAATTAGCTGAACGTCATCAACACAGTCTTAAACAGAAATGAGATACGCTTTTTTTTTCTAAATAAGAATATTCACAAGAATATATTCTTATAAAAAAAAAGAGTGTACTGTAGTCACTTCCAGTTCAAATGCTTTGGCCGAGTACCTGGCCTTATGCAACTGATCGATGAAAAAGATTGTGTAAGAAATCTCACCTTTAGTTGGAGGTGCTTTTGCTTCTGTTCTGTTTGTTACTGCCACTGTGGTAGTTTCCACTGTGGTCTTGGGGGGTTGCAAACCTACAAACGATCGATGCCCAACAAGAGGATAAATTTTAAAAAATTATGATGAATAATTATTTAGTATGAAAAAGTGAAGTCATCTCGAGAAACAATTGGTCGATATTTTCTACTTATGCTAGCTTGACCCACACCAGCCGATGAACCCGGCCGACTATGAGGCCTGTGTGTTGAGCGAAGAATAGGGCCTAGCACTCGTCAATCCAACGCACTCAACGTCGTTCCCAGTGCTTTCTCGAACAAACTTCAAGAGAGGAGCCCTGGAAACGAAGTTGCACCGCAACGTCGCGCGCAGTGCAATACAACACATACTCACCTATATCTCGCAAAATCAGGGCTTCAGAATGACAAGTGCTGACGTCATCTTTGCCTAGTATCTCGTACTTTATACAGTAGATATTCTGCATCTTGCTGGTAAAATTTGTCAATCTTAGAAACAACTCCGAAGTCTGCAAATCAGCGTCCGCAGTTACTCGGTTCACGTACAAGCCGTCATGGAACACTTCGTAGAACTTGAAGAATGTTCCATCTCTGTTTACTGTCGCCACTTTCTCCATGACCGCTTCCACTGGTCTTTTCAAAGCCATCACTGAGAAGCGCAATATTTCGTTCTCCGGCAAGAGTTTCCAGCACATCGTTACGTTATCACCTTCTGAGGCATACGTGACGGGGGAACTAGGGCATGAGTAGGCATTAACTCCAGCTGAAGACACAAGGAAGAAAGGTTAAGTTGATGGGCTCCTCACCGTCAAACTCCCCACCCCCCCTGGGAAAGAGTATTCCCTTATACAGGCTATATAGGTATGTGCGGCCCCAAAGGGTTTGGTTTTTTAACCGTTTTGGTCATAAATAGGGTTTCGATTTAGCCATTTTGTTCTTAAATAGGGTATGGTTTTTGAACTCTAGTCTTGAATTGGGTATTTTTTTTAGAAGAAGCTACTTTTTCATCATTATCGATAAGACCATGAACAAAAGCCCAACAAAAATTATGTTTGGGGCTACTGTGTCAGCCGCAACGGTCATGAATAGGGTATCGAATTTTTGGTCTGGTCATAAATAGGGTAAGGAAAATCGCAGATTTTGGTCATAAATAGGGTAGGGTATCGGGAAGCGGGCCGCACACCCCCACCAAGTTTTTCTGGGAGTAACCCTTCCCCCGGAATCTGACCTCGAGGTAATCGCAATTTTGGTCAGGTCATAAGTAAGGTAGGCAAAATCGCAGATTTTGGTCATAAATAGGGTAAGGATTTTGGGAAGTGGGCTGCACACCCCCATCCAATTTTCCTGGAGATACCCTGCCCCCCTCGCCCCCGTCCCCGGGCCGAACTGAATACCTTTATATGTGGAAAGGGATATCTTTTAAAACTTTCTACTTCCGTTATCTTGCACTTTGCTCTTTCTCTTTTTCTGTAACTTTAACTAAGATAAAGCAAACTTAGGAAATTGAAAGTGAGTGAACGTAATTTAAATTTCTATTTAGTTGGCAAATTGTAGTGGCAATGTTTGAGTAGTGCCAGTAGGGAAAATGAACTCTTGAATAAAACCAGGAGATCAGACTTTCATAGTCTCATGATAATACTAATAAAACCGCGTAAGAGCGTATATTGTCTATATTCAGCTGGTTGCCTTGCATTGTTTTCCAATTACGCGGGTGAAAACTCATGGAAACTGAAGACCTAGGATATTTGACTACCAAATGAAACCACAGCTATGATCAAGCACAGAAGTACCGGTGTACAAAGAGACGGCGATATTTTAACAGAACTATTTTCCAACACAATAAAATGAAATTCCCACTTCATCACTGGGAAAAAACTACTGTTGACTTTTCTTGAATCCTCCTTGTTCGCGCGACGCAAAAACTCGCGCGCTACGCTTTGTTTTTCTACAGCTCGCATAGCGGACGAGAGTGGGAACTTCCAGTTCGAGATTGCACGTGTAATTACACTCACTTGTGAATACGTCTTTCAAGACAATGCCGAAGACAATTCGCAGAAAGATCTGCTTTTCCATTCTTGTCCGGGCTTGTGTGCGGAAGTTATTCTCTGAAAACAAAAAGAAGCAAAAACAGGTGAGATCATATCAATTTTAAGCATTTACAGTAATGAATTTGTCACTTGGGCATAAGATGGAAGTTTTTAGTAATTTTTATGACTGGCGGCCACTAGTGGAAATATGGCAAAGTCGAATGTAATTGTTTGTCAAACAGAGCTATTTCTTTTTCATAATACAGCAAATACAGATTACCATAAACGAAGCTACGCTTTGATTTAATATTGCAGTTAACATGAATTCTCTTGACATTTTACCGATCAAGAATTTAAACCTTTTAACAGAATCAAAAATATATTGTCTTTGTGAACGAGGTACAATTTTGTCGTCATTACGTACATCAACGGTTACGTTTCCTCAAAAGGTTGAAGACTAGAAAATATGAATATCTATATAAAAAAGGAACATAACATTTGCCATCAATTGCCACAATTAACTCGACTGCGTAACGTAAGTACACTGTTTAATTCGAAACATTTCATAGAAAAAGCTTGTAACTCATGTACCTCAGTCAAAAGACGGACAGACTGAAGGCCAGCTAGAAAATCGCATTATGAAAACTGGCCAACACAACTTCGTTCAGAAAGTGAGGACAGATTTAAGCCATAAAATCAAACTTCGCAAATCACGTTTGTTACAACTTCAGCAAAGTTGTTTTGATCGATTCTAATGGCTCCTTTTCGTTCGGCACACCAAAATGTTGCTGTCTTACTGATTGCAACCGTGGAGCAGTTAACAGGTAAACCCGAGGTTAACTGCTCTATTTAATTGTCTTCCGTCTCAACATGAATTCTCCTCCCTCCAATTAGATAACACCGGGTAAATTCTGCCACGCGTACATTTGACAACATGCAAGATCAGTTCCTCAAGCTCACTCGGGTATAAATTCACGAGTTACAATGTTCTTTCACTGGCGCCTTAGGCTCCTGAAATAAACAATTTAGAATAACTGTACTTTCTTCACTTTTGTTTATCTGCATTTTCGGCAAGAAACACTCTTTCTTTTTGGCCGTGCAGGAAGTCTAGCTAGGTCGGTTTTACTCCAGACTTCATTAATTCAGTAGAGTTTGGTGTTTCTATCAAACAGCTATGATGAAAGGTTGCCAATTTTTTTGATGTCGATACTTGAGTTGTCCCATTAACCCACAGGCCCACAATTTGCACCAATGTTTTATGAATAGTTTTGATAATTAGACATTAGGCCTACTGTATGCGAATGGGGAAAGGACATTAAACGAAAAAAAAAAATTACAATTAAGAGTGAAATACGTCTTACTTTCGTCTCGAGATTTTGCGCACGTCTTCCGTGGTCCGTTTGAGGTGGCAAAAAAGAATTAGTTCAACAGGGTCCAAATTCCAAATTCCAAAGTGATGTATTCAAATTCGTTCACGAGACTCAAGTGTAAACACTGTCAAACCTGTATGAAGGGACACCCTCGGGGCAATTCTCTATATTTAGCTATTGTCTGTTTTTAACATAGGGCTGATTTGTCAGATACCACTGATTTTGATGTTGGATACTTCTGAAATTACTCTCCTAAACTATACTGATGTGTTTGCGCTCATTTGTTTTGTTTTACTAAGAGGAAAATTTATCAAAGTACGTATAAGATACAGTTACTTAGGTTAGACCACAAAGTTCTCGTGACCAAACTACGGAAATGCACGAGATGTGATAGATATGTAAGAATGTGACGGAGGTGAGATATCTCACTTACAGACGACCACATAAAGCTGAAAATTGAAAACAGAACGTTAGACGAAAAGTAACTACAAATTTCGCAATCGAAATTTTAGGACAAAAACGCTAGTTTGTCCCGGGTTCTTCATTGTGGAGATTGATCATCTGTGCCAGGTGGTTAACTCTTACAGTGACAACGGACAGAGGTTCTTCTTTCAATGATAACGAGCTTGACCGAGCCGGAATACTTCATCAATATCTCGGCCAGTCTTAAAGCTTGGTCAGATTTTTCCGTATCGGGCACGTTGGATAGTAGAATCTAATTACAAGGGTCCTTTAAGGTTGGTCTTCACTCCTACGTTGTGCATAAGCACGAGCCGCAACATAACACATGAATACATATTAGCGCCTTTGCAAGAGGAATTTCCTTACGAAACCGCAATTTAACAAACTCTTACTGCGTCTGCGCACGGCTTATGCTTGGGTGTTGAGAGCCGTCCTAAATTTAAATAATAGAGACGACCCATTTTAGCCAGCCACCTTCGAGGTTTTCAGGTCTACTAATATAAAAGGTGTCCAAGATATTATTTACAGTAAACAAGGGAATCACATATTTCTTGGGATCTTGGCTAATGTACGTTTAATAAATGGTGTCCGTTTAATTCAATGTCCCAATTTTGACTGTGAAACTAACTTGCAAATTTTCCATTCGTTAGTCTCTGAATTGGGAGAATCAATAATATCTATTTCAATCTCGTCTATAGGCAATCAGCAGGGGTCATAAAGGTGCGATAGATTGCCTTAATAGTGGACAGCTGTTTTTCTCAGCTTCGTTTCGTTTCCTTTGTTATTCTGTTCTTAAGGAAATCGATGGAAAAAAAAAAATGTTCTCTTAGCTTGAAAACCAATTTCCACCCCGTTTCAATTTCCACCCCAGTTGCAAACTCCTGTCACGCAACGCTTAGCTACGAATTTTGACATGAAAAAACATTTCCTTCCCAAAACCGTTGAACGATTGCTTTCAATAATTTTTGCTTTAGGTGCGCCTTTTACAACGACAAAGAACAATTGCGAAGCGTATTTGCGCTTGAGATACGAACTCGTCAAATTTTGTGCCAAAAGTCATGGATGCGGACTGAGAAAACAACAAGTTTCAGCACCAAATGAGATGCACACTTATAAAAATTATTTTCTCGCTACATTCAAAACACGTTTAAGAGGTTTTTTCGTACATAAGAAAGCTTTAGACATCATTAGGTCACGAGCATAAGCTAATACTTACGGAACACAACTTAGTTTATCAGTTGCGTGGATTGTGGTAAAACATTCTCTGTTTTCCTAGCTTCGGGAAAAAAGTTAAATAATTACGAAAATGAAATGTAGGCGAGGTACAATAACGCCCTAAATAAAGAGTAAATTTATACTTACCTTGAACTGTGTTTGAAGTAAAAAGCTTTCAACTGTATTTGAGAACACGTCTAAGAACATATACAAACAGTTGGAAGGAAGTCACGTTATTTTTATGAGTCACATCTGTACAAAGTACAAAGGTTCATTAGAGTGGAGCAGTGTCCACTTGTTGTAATTCTGGACAAACTCCATGCTTTTGTCATGTCGTAAACGCGTGCAAAATCAAGGTAACGCAATCCTGACAACGACATCCAAGTCAAACAATAGCTTTTTGGAAATTTTTCAGAAATTGCCGCTTGCTTAAATTAACCATTCAAAAAAACAGTATTTGGACTATTGGACCAAAGACCAAGATAACCTTAACTAAAGTTCAATTTTGTCTTTGAAATTCAAAAACAAACGTATATAAAATATAAATGAAAAACATCGAAATACTGAAATAAAAAGTTGCAATGGGTTTAAAACTTGCCACTTCAACACCTCAATTCTTCAATTAAAAATGTAAATGAAACGGCATCCTTCACGGTGTTTTATGAATAACAATAAAATCACAAATAAACGTGACCGTGCCCGTCTGAGCCAAAAACAAGCCCCTTCATTAAAAATACCTTTTCGACACCTTGTCTCAAATGAGAGCGAAAAACAACAGACCCTTCGTATCAAGTCGAGGATAATAGTATTAAACTGCCCTAGTTTTACATATCCGTCAAATAGTAAATCAACAGTAAGCGATTCCATTTTATTAGTCACACACACACACACAAAAAAAACAATGTCGTTTGGGTCAAGCGCGTGGATTTACGGGTCATCCAGAACGCACGAAGAAATTTATCAATAAGTGTCAATGCACATTAAATGAAATGAACTGTTGAAATTTCTTTCAAAGCTTTTTTTGAGGTAAACTTTCAACTTATAGCAGGCAAACTGTCAACGCTATTTGATCACGTGAAACTTTGTTTGGGCGTGAAGAGAAAGATTATGGACCACTAGACAGCAAAAGCCCTCACACGCCACAGGAAACCCATGTAATTTGTCACAAGAGAGCGCCAGTCTACGAAGAAAGCGAAAAAGCACGGAAAATTAATCCGCGCGCTTTGTTTTCCTGGATGAAGATGCGCTGTGAAAACAGTTGGCGTGGAATCTTTTGGCTCTGTCGCATTCTCTGAGCGGATTAGTATGGTCGTGAAAAGCTACTGACTTAACGGGGTCGAAGTACACTGTGGCCGAAAATAGATCAACTTTGATAAAATTCTTGCATCACCTGTCTGTACATTATTTTACGGTTACACCACACACCCTGACATATATGTCTCGTTTTCTCTTTAACCGCAAGCTATTAAACTTGATTTAACGGGATACTTCTTCGAGAAGAAGAGTGATTTTTGTTTTCTGCTTTCCAAATATCGCCGAAAATCGCGCTTTTTGGCACCAGGCGTTGTTGTGACAAAACAAACAAAAACCAACAAACAACGAACAAATTTAGTGGCCCCCAGACCCCTCGCATGTTTTTCATTCACCGTTCTTCGTGCACGCCCGGAACAACAATAGCTAATGGGCCTTTTCCGGGTTTCCTTGTGCCTCTGTTTCAAAACGAGTCCTGGTGCAAAACCTTTCATACGAAAATGAGTTTTGCACGAAAATGAACTTGTAGGCGGAACACATTTTCATATGAATGATTTCGTACGAAGACTCGCTTTGACAGAGGCAAAAGGCCTAGGCAACTCGGAAAATGGCATATTTAAGGCCATTTAACGCATGGTAATCCTACGAACAGCTAGCCAGCCGAAAGAACAGAAAACAACGTAACATTACGGTGGGCCAGATCATAAATTGTAGATTCCAAAATTTAACGTAATGAAAATATAAAATACTATTATCCTTGTAAACCCAGAGGAACCAGGTAACTTTCAATTTAAAGAATACAATTTATATTTTCTCTATTACATAGTCAATTTCCTGTTTACAAACTGCTCGTTAGACTGAAACGGACACGTATAGACATCTCTACAATATTTGACAATTAATTTCATCTCCATCCAGAATGTGCACCTCTCGCACAAGGCCATGTAGAGCTGTCCAAGCTTTCTTTCTATAGAGAAAGTTGATCGACTACACCAATTCGTTCTTGCCCAGTTAAGGAGTATTTTTCTTGATAAAAGAGAGCTTGAGCAATGACGACGGCGACCCCCGGGACAACGCCTAGTAAAAAAGTGAATTTACATTTTACCTTCGAATTTCGCAATTGTCTTGATCTGTTCAGTGTACCTTGGTCTCACAACTTGCTCGAGCTACATAAATATGTAACGCCAGCCTTCAATTCCACATGAAAATACGAAAAATTAGCCGCCTTCGTTCGCGTTCTCCAAAATACGCAGAACTTAGTCATTTCACGATGTTGTTTTGCAGAGGACGGCAAAGAAATGTACAAAGATTTACAACGCACGTGCACAGCCATTGTTCTGTTCATTAAACATTTTGTTTGATGGCGTCATCGTTGCCATTGCCGTCGTAGTTTGCTTAAGCTCTCTAAAATCTATTTAACTCCTAATAATTCTCCATTCTAACATCATCGGGCGCACTTTATATACGACAGTTTCAACGCCCGCGGGAAGTCCCGTCATGAAGGCTGGATCTACTTCCATATCTTGAGCACACCGTCTCGCCCGGCAGACAAAACATAGTTTTGTGGTAATTTAGTGACAGCAATGTCATTAATGCATTCATGATGTCCCACGGGAGGGTTATCAGGTCCTCGCCGCGGCAGGTCTTCATGTATGCCACCCTGACGTGATTTGCAGTAAACTTCCTGGAGCACATCGGTACCATCAATGAGACGCGATCTGCAGAAGTAAATAGGAAGACAGTTGGCGTATGCATACATGACGACAAAAGTGAATGAAATTCTCTTTTGCTCATAATGTGGAAACCATAACAAGCTACAATTTTATTATTTTGGGAGAAAGAAAAAAAATAGATAATACTTATGTACACGTCATAAATGTTAGAACCACCTTGTTACAACATAATGAAAAGTACCACGTGAAAAAAACCGTGCAATAATTTTAATTCCAGAGGTTACAAATAGGCTTTCATGCACTTAGAAACTTTTTTTTTGCTAAAAAAAATAAAACTTGCACACCTCTCACAGCATAACAAGTACCAAAGTACCAAATGAAAGTACTGCTCAATAGCTTTCATTTGAAAGGCCACACACTAACGTTTTATCCACAGGCATAAAGTTAGAACCACCTTGTACAGCATAATAAAGAGTACTACATGAAAGTACTACTCAATAGCTCTCATTTGAATGGTCACACACTAGGGGTTTTATTCCACAACCAAAAATGCTAGAACCACCTTGTACAGCATAATAAACAGTACCACGCGAAAGTACAGCTCAGTAGCTTTCATTTGAATGCACAGACTTGATTGTTGCAAGCAAGTAAACTTGCTTTTGCGTGAGCTTTGCATCTGGACGTCTAGAGGACATAATTCAAGAGTTCAAGATAGTTTCATACTTGTACTGTAGAACAACATTGTTCAGATTGTCTGTCGCCGCTCCCGCCACCATTTGTGAATGCTCAGGGTAGGCCAGGTCCCACAAGCGAATCCGGCGATCTGAGCCCGCAGTCAGGATGAAGGGACTGGTGTCCTGTCTGCTGGTGCACAACGCGTGCACTGCATTAGGGGAGACCTGGAAATGAGGCGAACAAAATGTCAGAGAAAGACTATGAAGTCCTAAGCTATTCATTACGTTAAGAAAACCGTGCACTTACGATTTAAAAACATGAAGGAAATCTCTATCCAAAAACATTTCCAGTTAATTTTTTTTGTTGACGTTGGACAAAAATTACTAAAAATAGGGAAGCAAACTGTGCGAAATGTTCTTTATGCTCAAATGTTTTTCAGTAGCTGCACATGTGGCAAGGAACCGCAAACAAAAATGCTGCTGGTATATGTAGGATCTGTGAAAGATCCTACGTAGTGCTAAAGCTTGAGCTTTTAGTGTCAAACCTGTGTTTGTGACAGGGGTGGGGTATGGCTTGCCCACAGAGCCTGTCTCCTCGCTCCAGTCTCCAGATCCCACACGGTCACTTCATTGTTGCCCTGCACAGCAGACACGACCCAGGACTGCTCGATCGGGTGAGTGGCGAGCCGACGAACACGAGCGCCTGGAAGCGTTTAAACATAACAGTTCAATAAACAAAGTCTGTACGTGAACATCACCAGCACTTGACAGTCAATCACAGAACAGACACATTACCTCTTGGATGGGAGAGATTTGTTATCGGCAGTTGAAAACGGAGATCCCAACAAACCAACATCCCGGCACTGGTCCCCACAGTCAACCAACTGTGACAAGGGTCCACCACAAAGGAAGTGATTACACCTAGCAGACAAACAAACACGAAATTATGATTGGCGTAACCTATCAAAATCGAGAATCACGCAGTGACATACGGCAGGCGCGCCTGAAATTTGAATTGGCCAATCAGTACTCAGAAGGCGGGAAAAACTGTATTGTCCTGACGTCAAATGCATATTAACAAAAAGGCATTGCGGTCGGGCAACGAAAAGGGATTTGTAACTCCAAAATACATATCGGATTGTAAAATGTGAAAAATATGAAACATTTTGTGCCTCCAAGCTTTAAATTTGGCGCCAAAAATGTGTCGCCTGTGACCGGCCACTCACTCGTAGTTTGTCGAGTGTCGCCAGGTGGGAAAATAGTTGTCTTATTTTGAACAAAATAAGTTATTCGTAGTCAAATTAAACCAAACCAATACTCGAGTATTAGGAAAGGCCCAAGCAACTTTAGCATTGTCTTTATTTTTGTTAGCTGGGAAGACAAAGACTATTATCATGCCGTTTCGGATAGACAGCCGGTTTTGACTGCCGCTCGTACTGTAGGTGCAGTCACCGTATGCAACGAAAATCATAGAAAAAATTGTAATTTGCAATAGCTTAAGGGTATAATAGCCATCAGCGGTTGGCTAACATACATTCAATTAGCTTCAAGCCTTTTCAAATAAACACGACTTGACGTTACCATGCGCAGGATCGTTTTCTAGTTTCCAGGCTAGTTTAGACGATCGAAGATCCCAGCCGCAGATTAGACCGTGAGATGTAGCGTAGGTCAANTTACCTGTTTCAAACTGTGTCAATTCTACCACCGTTCCTTCTTCTTTGGGATTAATTTGAAGCCTGGAGTTGGGCTGCTGACCGTTCTGTTCAATTCTGTTCACGGAAGAAAATACAGATAAACTTGTTACATCAAACTCTAGTCAAGGGCGTTCATGCGAAAAATCCTCTTATTTATAAATCTTTTCCAACTTTCAATGTGGTCAGATAATGAATTACTTGTGGCAGAAATGCAAGAAATAAATGAGGGTCACCGACTTCGTTTCAGATATGAAGCGTACAGAAAAACACCCTCGGTTTTATCAACACTCTTTTAAACGGTCGGTGACCCCCTCTATTTTTTTCATAGATTACTTACTTTACTAATTCTCTCCACTTTATGGTAAAAAAAAGAGAAAATTTATTCGAGTGTGCATCGCCTACAATCCTTCTGTAAAGCTAAATCCAGGTGAAAGAATTATATAAGCTAGAAAATATTTCTAAATATTTCTTCAGTTTTTCAACACCCAACATTATTTAGAGATCTCGCAGAAAGCGATTGAGCGGATATCGCGTTACATCATCAAAGGTTTCACAAACAATGCCGTCTTCGAAACACTTTACCTCCAAAATATGTACGGTAACCTCCTAATCAGTTTTTTTTTTTCTTGTTTGCGTTTCTGGCATGAGTTGATCGTAATCCAACCACAGAAAAATTCTAAACATAAGAAGATCAGGGCACGAACCTTTAAGCGTTTTAAGAGTTCACAAGAAAATTATCTAAAGCGGGCTTCACAAAAAAAGCGTAGTTACTAATGTCTTTTTACGAAAAGTCAAGTACACCAACACCAAACACATCACTTCATTGTACCAACGAGTGAATAAGAACAAACCTACAGCCGACAGAAATAGGTAAGCCATTCTGTTGATTTTGGCGCAAGTTAGGGCCAAATACTTAAACGAAGTTCAAGTTCATGGAAGCTCTCACGGAAAATCTTAGTGTAACAACTGACGGCAAAACAGTCTGTACTTTTGGGCGAGGTTGTGCGACGCAACGAGGTGTTAAAACAGGACTAGAGGAAGACAAAAAGAAACAAGAAAACTACTCTTTACTCGCTAATTCGCACATGTACGAGTGTCGTTACACACTTGACTTGTAATAATACAACGCCCAATCAGTACAGCTAGCTCTATCGGCTTAAAACCGGTTTGGGCCTACGCCAGCTAAACGATCTGCGGCCATTAGATTTTTTCCACTTCAAAGAGTTTTATTATCCTATTTCCCGAGAGAAGAAAGAGCATGGTTTGTCACTGTTTGAACATCTTGAAAGGTTTAGCCTAGTAAATTTTTCAAGTTCGTTGTTTGTAATCCGTGTTAATCTTCTCCATCATTAACTACCTTTGTTCCTTTATGGTTTATTGTAATCTCTTTAATGTTTTTCTATCTTAGTAAATGATTTTGTGGGGGTTTCTTTCAATTTCAAGGTAGTCTTTTTACGTGGCCAAAATAACTCAACATACCGCGACTGGGTTCCTTTAATTACAACTTGACTATGGAAAAGCATTTTGCATGTGTTTGGATATAGCTGTGAAGTTTGAAGGCACCTTCAGCACGTTTAAACTCAAGGAACAGTTACCTGAAAACATCTATGGTTCCTTCGTCAGATGCACAAGCTATGGAACTTGATCCCAGGCAGAAAACCAATGCTTTCATCTTCCAACCTACCAGCAGAACACGCAGGTTTAGTTTGGACAACTCCCAGGCTTAAAACATTAATGCGCTTTATTATATGGCTATGGCTATGGCGAACCGAATCCTGCACTGAGATTGGCTACCCGAGCGGGTAAGATGGCGCTGCTCGGGATTACCCGCTGTGTCCCGCAAAAAATTCTTTTTCCATACAATAAATCCTTTATTGACCAAGCTTGTTCCTTCAAGTTCGCTGGATGTCGAGTCCGTTCTTTTCTTCGCTTGCTTATGGACCGAGACGGAGTCAAGATCCATAAACACAGAGAAACGAATTTGGCCAATATCCAGCCATCTTGACCTGACGCTTGGTCAATAACCCAAATTTACTAATCGACACACATGTCTGTTATTGTTAGTTATGAGCCTTCTTCAAATATCCCCAAAAATAAGATTTCCCGCGAAACAAATATGACGATTTAATCAGCTCTTACAATCAACCAGTCCTAGCTGCTGGCTGTACAGCTTTCCTTCTTTATCATGAATTTGTATGTTAAACTTGGTAGGTCTTCGTTTGTAATTCGTCGCAATTCTGTAACACGTGGAGGTGCATAAACTGGCGGACTTTATAAACAGAAGTCAGGCGTTTAATCAGAACTAAGGGTCACGTGCCCTGTAGCCAGGAACGGTAAATACTCCACGTATGCGAACTCGTTACAGCCATCTTCCCCGATTTTAACCATCTGTAGTCTTTGTTCGTTCGTGATTTTTGTCACTTCTTCGGTACTTTTTTCCACCTTGAAAACAATTTTATTGAGGTTTCTGCGATTTAAGAGGAATTTTGCACATCTAGTTTTCCTGTAACCTCGCATACTACAGTTTACCTTTATCCGCAGCAGGCCAGTTTGAGACCCAGATACCCATTCAAATATTAGGCGAATCTAGCCGGGGTCGGCTCAGTTACTGGCTTACAAAAATTATCGACTTGTAAAGCCATTCCACTTATTTCATATCACCGTAAATGTTCTCTGAGTCCGTCGTTTTCATATTTTACAACGAGGTGTTCCTGGTTACCTCAGAATGTTTCTTGTTTTTTCTGAGCAAGGCGCAAGGAATTTTTGTCTCTCTCTGAACAAGCACAAGTTCACACAGAGAGTTGCAAGACTACGGACGCATTACCTGGTCTGCTGTATGTTTGTCTAGACTTGTTAATCAGGCTTCTACCATCAAGTTTCTGTAGATCCCATAGCTTAACGGACCCGTCATCCGAAGCAGTAGCAAAGTGAGAGTAATCTGGGCTAACTTGCAGCCTGAAAAAAATTAAAACTTGATTACACGAAATTGATACAACTGTGCTGAGTAATACATGTAGATCAAACACGAAAGACCCTGTTTGGCCACATTCCCAAACACCAAGAGAGTTGTAAATACAACGCGTAACGGAGTATTTTTGAAGAATCTCGACATGTTTGGAAATGTGGTCAAGCATTGTCTTGAAAGTTTGATATTTCTTCACAATCGAAACTAAACCTACGGAAAAAACGTAGAATTAAACTCGTACAAATCTAAGGTAACTGGACCTATTCTCCACAAGGAGAGAAGAGAGTGATGATAAAATGCTCTTTGCTAGTTGTTTATCGCTTTTGATTTTATATAATTATTATGGCACTCCAAATTCTTATTCGACCAGGATAGAGAAACCGTACGAAAACCAGGTAAGGCTGATGTGACTTCTTTCTAAATACAGTAATTTATTTATTTACAGTAAAATTTCAGGGCGAATTGGGAATTATAACGTTGACTACCAGTGTGTGCAACTATGTTTGGAGCACGTTCATGTAAATTATCCAGTTAAGGAAAAACGTCAAAACTGAAATTACTGTCACTGACCAACCAAACCTTTTTGACTTTGACTCACATGAGCTGAAATCTGTATAGTTGTGAACGAAAAACACTCATAATTGTCACTATCAGCTTGTCTCATTTTCATTACAGTATATTGCAACATGTATGTGAGGCAATTTCGAGCAATTTTAAGGTTTCATCCTGAAATTGTCTCGCATCCACGTTAGATTACATTGCAATGCAAACGAGAAACGGTCCCCGTGAAAAGGGCTTTCTCCTTCTTTTTANTGCTCCCTCTTGTGGTGTACCAAATTCTTTAGTTGCAGCTTACACATTGCATATCGCGCTTGCAGTGGATTCTGGGTTACAAATTCCACAGGAGCTGGTGCAGATTGTTTCTTTGACTGGGAACTAGCGTCTGGACGTGGCAGAGTAGCAGGCTGAGTCCCAGTTGAGCCCAAAGGTGGTGGTTCATTTTTGTTGTCCTAATGTAAAATATTAAATATTTCTCGATGTGTGCTGGTATTTAATGACAACAGAAACAAACACAGGAGAGTGAGAACAACTTTTACAAATTACCAAAAGTGTAAATTACTTTTAGCAGCCCAACCATTGAATCACAATCTAGGTACGGAGGGTTTATACATCGTCTTTTCAAGAACTCGCGTGAAACCCAGTTTCATGTATAGCTGAGTTTATGGTGATTTTGAGCATGACGTCAAGTACACTAGTGAAAAACGTGTTCGAACTTGGCTGTCTGACGGCCCAGTACAAACCCGCCTACGGTATCAATCTAGTTTCGATTTCACAAGGAGACCCTAATAAAATACTACCGACAGAATACTGACAGACGACTATACGGATTAGCAATATACAGACAGACTGTCGGCAAACTTCAAACCCCACCCCCCATCCCCCTGCAATTGAAAAGCGCAACCCACCTTTCTCGAGCTCCCGCGAGACACAAACTTTAAGAAGGATTTTCAACGCTATGTAAAACTCTAAGGTCGGAAGGCTGCACCCTTGGATTTTCAACCCAAATTGTAAGGTAAAAAATAATAACGTTCAATCTCTTCCAGAAGTTCCAGCTATAAAGTCACTAAACAAACACTTACAACTCCAACAGGAAGGGAGAACGTTTTTCCCAGTGGTGATTTTGGTCGGTGGGCAGTAGCAGGCATTGAGTCTCTCCTGGCCATGACCAGCGCGACAGCAGCATTCTCAGCTCCGCCAAACATGTGATGCCATTCAGGATTCTATCAAGAGAGAAGAACAGCTAATACCTCCTTACCTTACAATATCAATATATTGTAATAAAGCAGGGGTTTAGTCAATCTAACACGCGCTGTTATTAGTTGACTGAAAGTCACGCAACAATGATTAAATCAAAATGTTGGCCAACAAGCGACAATTACAAAACTTGCGTCCCACTCCTCCTCGAACGAGGCCTTCGCAGGCATTCGTTTGGCTCGTCACGCGTCACGCGTGACAGGTGTGTGAAAAGGGAATTTACGAAACCACGACCGCAACAGCAACGGCAACGTCACTGAACAAAAGAATTAATGAGCAGGGCCGGCTTGTTCGAAAGCCGGTTAACATTAACCCAGGATTAAAAGTTAACCGAAGTAACAATTTTTCTTCTACAGAAATGTTTTTCGCTGCTTATGTTTTGTGTAGTTTGAGATCACTGAAGCTCAAAACTGAAGGACAAACAATACAAACAAAAACGTCACCGAAACTGTAGAAAAATGAAATCAAAATTCTCGCTAATCCTGTGTTAGCTTAATCGAGCTTTGAACAACCCGACCCCGAACAATGGCTGTGCACGCGCGTTATAATTCTTCGCTTATTTCTTTGCCGTCGTTTGCAAGACAACGGGAAATGACCAAATTTTGCGTTGTCTGGAGAACTTGAACCACGACGGCTAATACTTTAAATTTTCATTTCAAATTTATCGCTGTGTTTCGGATTTAGTTTTGCGATAGTTTTGACAGTGAGAAACAAAGTAACTGACTTTAGAGTATCGCGAGATTCGTAGGTAAAATATAAATCCATTTTTTAATCGACGTTGTCCTCGGCGTCGCCGTCGTGGTTTCGTAAACTCCCTAATATCTACTCGGCTCGTCACGAAATCTTTCCCACCATTAAGGTTGCGTGATGCGCCTAAAGAACGTCTGGTTTGCGTAGGGGTTATCTCGGACGAGATAAAACGTATACCTCACACCCATCCGGTGTGGTTAGTGAAGATGACAAAGCTCACGAGTGAGCCTTCACTTTCACGTGCTTATGTGAAGCAAAAGCACGTGATGACATCGTGATACCAGGTGGCGTGTTATCCGCGTTCCGAGTCTGTGAGGCGGGAACAGCCTTTTGTTTGTGCTGATGTTGGAAAAAGTAAAGTCGCTAGGAAAAACGCGATTTAGCTAGTGCTTTTCCATGGACGAAATATCCTAACTGGTGGCCGAAAAAGATTTGAAAGAAAAAAAAACAAAACAAAACAAAAAAAACACTAAGGAACGACCTTTGAAAACTCTTACAGCATACTTTAATGACTATACACTTCAATCTTGGCTATACAAGAGTCACAATCACACTACTACTGGTTCCTTGGGAAACAGTTTTGTTTTTCTTCGAATCCAATCTTAACATGTGGTCTCTTTTGCAGCTCGTCAAGCAACGCTAATAGTTCTTTCTCGATACTCGTTTTTTGCGTCAACATCTTGCGAAACTCTTTTCAAATGCTGACACCCCTCAACAAAACAAAACAGTTTCAGAATCGGAAATTTCGTTTGTGACAGAGCACAACGCGACGCTACAAAGGTCAAAAACTACGACATATATTTTCTTTGCCGTATCATTCAGAAAGAGGTCATCAGCATGGAAACTTAAAAACATGCGAAGTAACAGTTTTATTTGAGGTTTCATGATCGGAGAATAAATTTCGTGTCGTAAAATTTCGTCGTAATGTTTCTTCATGGGGTTTAAATTTGCTTTTTTTTTTTTTTAAATCACAAAAATCGCGAACAATAAGTCACGAGAAAATAAGCAACAAAAAGATATATTATAGTAATATTGTTTTTCAAAAATTAAAAATTAACAAGACGCTATCTAATCTTACCATTGATGGTGGCTCGACCATGGAAGCTTTCTTATTTTTCGAGCCTCCCTTTTTGGCTGTTGCATTATTATCATTTTTCCCTTCAGTAGATTTTACTAATTCTGCATGTCGCCTGGTCACGGCCTTTCCCACATGCAGGTTCTTGATGTTAATGTCTCCTTTTATCACCTCGTCGTTATTCTCAGGTTGTTCCATGGCGCTGTGGGGAAAAAATAGCGACATCGAATTCATTTGGTGGCCAAATGATCAGCGCGCTGGACTCGGTGTGGCCTGGGTTGTTGTGCAGGTCCGGATAGTTGCGTCGCGTTTTTGGGAAAGAAACTTTATTCTTACAGAGCCTCTCTCCACCCGGGATAAAAAACAAAAGAATATCGGTAAACTGTTAAGCGGCCTTCACACGGCAAACTAAAGTTGGCAAACTCGTGTTGGCAAACTCNAGAGGGTAATTTTTTTGCGTCCAATGGGTCGCTACTGGGACTAAATTTGTGCGTCTTTTAGGAAAATTAGGAGTCTGAGACGCGGGACGCGCAGGTAGATGGATCACTGGGAGACAGGCAATGAGAATTCTCTAGATTAACACAGACAACTGTTTGGCTGTAACAGGAGAACGTATAGTATTTTAAGCAAGGGGTTTAAGTATGTTATACCTGGTTTTGGCCCTGTGTAACTTGAGAATCACTTCCCTGAGGAAGATTAACTTGTCTTCGTCCTCCTCGGTGATGCCTTGCGAGTGCAGTTTGCGGAAGACTGGTACTAGGGCCTCAACTGTCTCGGGGTAATTTGGTCGCTGACCTGCACGGCAGAGACTCCGAAGCAACTGCCTGTCCTGCAAACTATGAGAAACAAACTAACGATAAATAAAACAAATCAGTTTTATCGAGGTACTTCCATAGGGGATATGAAAGGCAAATAAAACTGGCAGAGAATTCAGAAACCTATGACAAACTTGTGTTTTAGTATCGAAGTATGCAGACTGTTCTCTTAACAAGTTTAATAAATCAAAAGAATTTGAAGTGACACGTCACACCTTCGTTATATTGTAACTGATATTTGGTCTTCTACCGTTAAGAAAGGCCATACTACAATACCACTCAGAGGTAAGTTACCACTTCTCGTCTCGTTTCTCTCGAGACGAGAATCTCGTCTCGCGAGAAAAGAGAGTCGCGTCTCGCGAGAACCAATGAAGCGTATATCTTCTGAAGGTTTGCTGGAATAAGAGGTCAATGCTAAAATTCATCTTTTTTGTAGAATATTTAGCCAGAGCTTTGTGATGGTTCCAACTGTTGCGAGTTACACTCGATTTTCAGTTCTAATTGTTTTATCATCGTCAGCAATCAGAATAACAAAAATTAAAAATACTTTGTGCTCATTCTAAATAAAATATTAACGTAAATATTATTTACTGGGTAATACCTTTCAAACAGACTGACAACTTGTGGTGACCTGATAATAAAATCATAAACTCCTCTGTTGATGGGTTCCTTTAGAAGGCTCACCAAAATCACCTAACAACAAACACAGCATATTCACATATTAAAAGTGATTTCACTGTAAACTGAGAGAATTTTTACCTTCAAATAAAAAAATCTGCAAGACGGAGATTCCTTCTCTTTCTGCTCGGTGAAAGAGATGGGAATCTCTGAGTCAAGGGGTAAATTCCAATTTCTCGAAAAAGCTATCAAACAATACCTCTTAAAACTGAAGAGGTTGTGCTACATATATGTAACATTTACACCAAAATTTCAGAGTCTCCCAAGGCAAATTAGCCAGTTTTGAGGTCACCTTGAAAACTGTCTGAAAAAAAGTCGGACATTTGTATATTGTGTAATTATAAAGGTTGACTTTCACTGAAAAATGAGGCCAATCGGTGAAGGTCCGAAATTTGTCGAATCCGTTCTTACGCGGACAGCCTCTTAAAACCTCAAAGTTAGTTTCGGTACCTCTTGGTCTACTTGCACCACTGGCTGCTTAAGAAATGGCCGCAGGAGAGGCAGCAGATTGCAGTGAACATCAGCTATGTTGAGAGTGCGAGCTACGGCAGCCACAAAGCNAGAGGGTAATTTTTTTGCGTCCAATGGGTCGCTACTGGGACTAAATTTGTGCGTCTTTTAGGAAAATTAGGAGTCTGAGACGCGGGACGCGCAGGTAGATGGATCACTGGGAGACAGGCAATGAGAATTCTCTAGATTAACACAGACAACTGTTTGGCTGTAACAGGAGAACGTATAGTATTTTAAGCAAGGGGTTTAAGTATGTTATACCTGGTTTTGGCCCTGTGTAACTTGAGAATCACTTCCCTGAGGAAGATTAACTTGTCTTCGTCCTCCTCGGTGATGCCTTGCGAGTGCAGTTTGCGGAAGACTGGTACTAGGGCCTCAACTGTCTCGGGGTAATTTGGTCGCTGACCTGCACGGCAGAGACTCCGAAGCAACTGCCTGTCCTGCAAACTATGAGAAACAAACTAACGATAAATAAAACAAATCAGTTTTATCGAGGTACTTCCATAGGGGATATGAAAGGCAAATAACACTGGCAGAGAATTCAAGAACCTATGACAAACAGGCGTTTTAGTATCGAAGTACGCAGGCTGTTCTCTGAACAAGTTTAATAAATTAAAAGAATTTGAAATGACACGTCACACGTTATATTGTAACCGATATTTGGTCTTAGACCGTTAAGAAAGGCCATACTACAGTACCACTCAGAAGTAAGTTACCACTTCTCGTCTCGTTTCTCTCGAGACGAGAATCTCGTCTCGCGATACGAGTCGCGTCTCTCGAGAACCAATGACGCGTATATCTTCTGAAGGTTTGCTGGAATAAGAGGTCAATGCTAAAATTCATCTTTGTTGTAGAATATTTAGCCAGAGCTTTGTGATGGTTGCAACTGTTGCGAGTTACACTCGATTTTTAGTTCTAATTGTTTTATTATCTTCAGCAATCAGAATAATAAAAATTTTAAAAATACTTTGTGCTCATTCTAAATAAAACATTAACGTTAATATTATTTACTGGGCAATACCTTTCAAAAAGACTAACAACTTGTGGTGATCTGATAATAAAATCATACACTCCTCTGTTGATGGGTTCCTTCAGAAGGCTCACCAAAATCACCTAACAACAAACACAGCATACTGACATATTAAAAGTGATTTCACTGTAAACTGAGAGAATTTTTAACTTCAAATAAAAAATCTGCAAGACAGAGATTCTTCTCTTTCTGCTCGGTGAAAGAGAAGGGAATGTCGAGGGGTGCATTCCAATTTCTCGAATAAAATATCAAGCAATAACTCTTAAAACTTAAGAGTTTGTACTACGTAACATTAATGCCAAAATTTTAGACTCTCCCAAGGGAAATTAGCCAGTTTTGAGGTCACCTTGAAAACTATCCGAAAAAAAGTCGAATCGATCCAAATAAATGTGACATTTGTATATTGTGTAATTATAAAGGTTGACTTTCACTGAAAAAAAGAGGCCTATCGGCCGGAGGTCCAAAATTTGCCTAATCCGTTCTTACGCGGACAGCCCCTTGAAACCTCAAAGTTAGTTTCTGTACCTCCTGGTCTACTTGTACGACTGGCTGCTTAAGAAATGGTCGCAGGAGAGGCAGCAGATTGCAGTGAACATCAGCTATGTTGAGAGTGCGAGCTACGGCAGCCACAAAGCCAACAGCTCCATAACGAACCCACATGTTCTGCGGGAACAGAAACAAAATGTGTACCTTATAATTATTAAATCAACAGCTTGGTACAGTTACTGCAGCTCTGCTACAGGCGATAGTTTCCGAGGGAAAAGAAGTTGGATATTTGTATGAATATATTTAGCACAGCGCCTATATGTATGCAGACATATTGGTTTCTTCGCCACTTGTTTGTGAAGATTAAGGGTTTTCACGCTTCCTATGATTCTTAATTCCCGCTTACAACAGCTAAAACACGTTTTTGTTTCTCATACATTCAAAATTTTTTTCTGATCAACATTTTTAGCTGTAAATTCAAGCCCTGCTTTATGAACTGTTTCTTGACACGGTTTTTCATCCCAGGTTTGCACATTTGTTCTTCAATCAACCAATACTTAACACGATTACAAAACGCTTTTGTATCTCATTAATTTCTTTCTTAATCAAATTTTTCATTAACATTTTTATTCAATCCCTTCTTCATGAACTGTTTTTCAACACGGTTTTTGGTCCCAAATTCCTATATTTGTTCTTCAATCAAGTCAGTCAAACCACTTTGTACTGATACCATAATAACACAGGAAGTTTCAGAAGTCCCTAAAAAGGCTAACGACATAATTATGTAATAACAATGAACAAAGCATATTGTGCTGACTCACAGGATGGCAAAGGAAGGGAACAATCTCAGACACCAACTCTTGTAGTGTTGGTTTTTGGAGCAGTCCCAGTTCTGCCAGACAAGTCAGTGCATTCAAAGCTTTACACACAACAAACTCTTCAGTGTCACTCAAACCCTGCAACGAATAAAACAAGAACTAAACATCAACTGGAGAAAAACCCCAACCAAAATGCTAACTACACAAATCCAAGTTATAACACTTCGGTGCCAAGTGATGTACAGTAACCTGAGAAATCTTCATTGTGGTACTAAAAAATTAGTCAAGGAGACCCTTTATCGTACAACATTAACTCTCTGTGTACAGCAATTTTTCGGAACGTGAAGCTCATCAACCGCATTTATTTCAAGTTACCCATGTACAAATTCAGCTTCTGTGTCAAGTTGTACAATAACAATACATTTTCAATAGAGCACAATGGTGCAAAGGATTCAACGTTCCCGATATTTCCTATTTAATGTACTAGTCGAGATATTGAAAGACACTCTTGCTTCATGTCATAGAGCACGAGACATGGCCTCTCACTTATACAGTTATGCAATGAATTAAGCCAATTATGTTCTGTATAACCTCCTTAGAAAAGTCTGTAAGTACCCAGTCATCAACTCCATACCTGCTCCAGGAGTGGTCTTAGCATAACAAGACTCTGCCATCCGACATACGCAGCGACACCCACAATACTGTCAAAAAATGCTCCTCTTAATTGCCAGTCTTGCTTGTCATTCAAGAACGTGATCATGTGCGACAACAGAACATCATTTGCTTTCTGGCGACCAAAGAACACACACAGCTGTGTGATGCCGTTTTCAAGCAGTGTCTGTTTAACAATGTTCTCAGGATCACTGAGGAGTGTGACAACTTTTCTTTGGATTAGTTCGTGCAGTGCCTGAAGCTCAGTGTCATAACTTCCCTGAAGAAAAGAGACAAAAAATTAAACACAGCAACATAATATAGACACATTTCGGTGAACCAGTGCCAATTCCTATACACCGATCAAACACTAGTGAGAATTCTCAAAAGTACACTAAATATTGTTGCACAAGCATGGCACAATGAAAAGACACGTTACTTGGTAGTTTCATGGACAAAAACTGCCAACTCAATCGACTCTCAGAGAAGGGATGTCGATATGAACCTGTTCAATCAAGGTACATCTCGACGCTACCAGACAACATCACACTACATGCAATTGAATGCCTTGTAGTGTAAGTGCCAGTAACTCCAGAAATAAGTGATATGTGTTCCACAGGTTTTAAAACGACCAATGAGGAATGTACATTGTACATGAGCTGTAACATAGATGAGTGTCACCTTATTTCTTCGCACAACATCAATAGATCGTTTTCACGTGACGCCATCAAATTCCAAAAATCAGAAACTAAAGAGCTACGAAAATTTTTATCCTTATAAGGCATGAGGGGATCTAAACTTATATCTGTTAACAACTTTTCAGCTCAATAGCGTGCTTGGTTTGGAAACTGAAGTTCAGAGTTACGGCGGTGCGTGACATACCGCTCCGATCGCGTTTGTGGAAAAATATACACTTATCTAGTGATTTTTAGCCTTTTTAGGAGTTAAAGTGTTAGGAAAAGTGCTTGTGTAAATGTTTGCTGGTTCAGTTCAGATAATCAGTCGCCTCGATAGCCAAAGTAAGTTCCAGATGTTTGCACTATTTTCCGGCCGCCATGTTGGTGGAGCACAGAGCTCCACCAACATGGCGGCTCCATACTGGGCTCTGTAAATTTGCGCAAAACATTTCGACGAATATCTGAAGTTTGGGAAAACGCAGAGACCCAAAACTTGGAGAAGTGTCTTCTTTACCTGTCTCCTATAATATTAAAATTTCTTGACTTTATCCACTGAATAGTTTTCGATTTATTTTTTCGTTGCGTGACAGAGAAAACCATCTATGCATTGCAAGCAGACACGTGAGGCGACTGAAGAAACATTACACATGTAAATCAGCTACAGTATGGAGAATATTTTAGTGAATCAGATATAGTCCTAAATAATTGTTAAAACTTATGGAGAAATAGCATTTTGAGCTTGGAGCTGAAAGTTTTAAGAGAAAAACAAGTGTTCACCTGGTATTGTATAGGAGCATCGTCATCCTCATTGCTTTCTTGATTGGCAAAATCTAACTGTGCCATTTCCAAAAATTTCAATGCCGTCTCTGCCAGGGAAGCAATGTTCTCGGCATAAGCTATTCTCACAATGACTTCCTGGTCCTGTGTGAGCCATGACAGGCTCGGCAAAACGTACTCTGGAAAAATGTTTGCATCACTGCGAGGCATACTGCGCACAAGATGCAGNAAAGTGTCAGTCATCTCCCACTCTCAGCTTTACCCCTGGGGGTAATGTTGAGGGTGGGAGATGGCTGACATTTCAGGAAAGCTTTTGAGATGCCCAGAAAAGTCAGTGAAAAGTCATCTATTAGGAATTCATAAAAATATAAAATAAAAATAATGTTACCATCTTTATCAGGAGTAGTTTCATCATCTGTACTGTTTGTTAAAAGCAGTTCCTTAAGGATCTGTTCAATGTCACGCTTTATCCTGCAAATGTAAGGGAAGGTTACATGTATCAGCGACATCAATTTTTCATAAAGAAGGTAAAAAGTGTAAATTAAACTGCATTTGCATCAAAGCGACCTACATTATACACCACTGAATTGGAGTCATATCTCTGGCAGATGTACATGTAAAGTGCTATACAACAAAATAACCTTTACCCTTGATACAAAAAACTAATACCTGCTAATCTTCTCATCTGCAGTAAGCACAGGCAACATGGCGAACTTGCTCATGTAGTTTTTGAGAAAGGTATAAAACTGTTCTGGAAATATCACTCCTGAAAACAGACAATCAGATTGATATTAGTTAGATTTACAGCTGATATGAAGAGACTTGCTCATAAAAATATGGACATCAATGTTTTTGTCATGTAAAGACTGTTCTCAATATTTTGCTCACCTCTGTATTTCTTCATAAACTCTGCAGCAGATAACCTGCTCTTTGAGTCCTTGCTTATCATTTGTCCCACAAGTTCCTAAAAAGAGAATAGTTGGGGAAAGCAAATTCAGCTTGAAAAAGCTACATGGCAGAAAATCTGTACAGGCATTCAATGCTTTTCGAATGTCAAAAAATTGTTGAGAACGTCAGCTCGTACCCTAATATTAGCATCTTCAATATTTGATAGTGTCACTGTAGGGTCATAATCTCCATTGCGATAAGACAGCAGCTCTGAGAGATCAAATAACCTGTTGCCCTCATTGAACAGTTCAGCTATAACACATCTGAAAAGAAAGTTAGACAAGTCAGCTTTGTTGCCAGTTGAAATAATCATTGACTACACTTCCCCCCAAGCTTAAGGGACAAGTTCTGGTGATACATGTATGCACAACACCTATTCATTTGGCTAAAGTTTGGACTTAAGCTTTTATTTAAAAGGCAGAAATAAACTTTCCTTATATGATACATCTTCCTTACTGGAGTGCCAGACTGCTGTTTGGGAGGTTGAGGGTTCAAGCCCCAGACTGGACCAACATTTAGGGTCTTAAAATGATCGAGTAGAATTTGGTACCTTAAGTTTGTAAAATTTCACAACAAAAATGATTAGACCTAAGTCTTCTCAGATACAAACTGTAAACTGTAGGCCCCTTCTCCTGCATCTTCAGTGTTACATGGTTAGCAGGGTGTGTTTAAGAACCCACACACTTATCGCAAAGAGCAGGCCATGGAGTTGTCAGTGTTGTGGTCGAGCCTTACCTCATCCATTGGTACATGTAGGTGCTTCACATAGGGTTAACCTCATTGCACCTTTCCCCCTTGGACAGAACTGTCCAAGAAAAATTGCTTGCTATGCTATTTATAATATTATTACCCAGCTGAGAATATGTCCATTTCTGGGGTCAATGTTCCCTGCTGATGTCTAACAAGGTCCATGTCTGGGAGACTGGGGTCACTTGCATTGTTTGATTGGCTGTCGCCATTGCCAGCTGTTACGGAACTTCTTGCCAGTAACTGATCTGCCTGTCTTGAATCCAAAAACCTCTCAGGCGCAATGTAACAGCTGCGACGACGAGATGTATCAAAGAAAAAATTGAAGTCTGCAGGGTTATCCTCTGGAAGGAAGGCCGGCTTAAAACTCGCTATGTCTGTTAACATGACCCAGTTCCAACCGGTTACCATCACATTCTCAGTTTTTATGTCTCCATGGCAAACCTGAAATACATTTGTAAAAAAAGCAAGATGATAATAGATCATTTGTAAGCTGCATAAACAGCCTATTTAACGCTAGAGGTGGTTGACGGATGATCTATATATTCAATGGCATACCTTGACAGAATGACACTGATCCAGGGCACTTAACAACTGGAAGACAATCCATTTCTTTTCAACGACATCAAGAAATGGCCGAGTGCTATAARTGAACAATTTTACACGCAATCAGTATTTTGAACCCCACAAGGAACAAAGTTTTTCAAAGGGTGGATAATGCTATCCACCATGTTGGCAAAACAAACTACACTTTCATCCATTTACAGTGATTTACCTGGTGGATAGTGTTATCCACTCTTTGCGCAACTGGGACCAGACTTTAAAACTTATAGTATGGAACACACTAACTATTTTGCTGCAGCTGTGATGAGAATCAACTGGCATGTACTAAAACCTACAACTCCCAAATGCTAGAACAACCAAAAACAAGGTTAGCTTCATGGTTTCCAGATGGTGGTTATTTGTTTTTGCATGTATTTACCATAAGATTCACTACAAGCTCTGCAACCTTTCTGTAATAATTTACAAGCAACAAACTAAAATTCTATCTGCAGTGAAATAATCAAACTACAAAACACTGATATTATATAACAGGGAGAGTACAGATCTTAAATTAGTTAAATACTGTGGAACCTCTGGTTGCGGCCACCTCTCGTAAGCGACCACCTCCCCTCAGTGACCAGTTTTCCAAAATACCAAAAGTTTCCAAGTCAAATCACTGTATTTGGAACCTCTTGTAAGCGACCACCTCTCGTAAGTGACCGTGACCACTTTTAGAGCTAAAAATTTGAAATTTTCTTTTGTTTTTAACCTCCTGTAAACAACCGCTTGACAGATAATAGAGCAAAAATTGAATAATAAGGTGTTGTAACATATCACATTCCTTGGTAGTGAAAGAGACGGACATTTCTCAATGGGAAGTGCCAGATTTTTTCAGGAAATTGACTTTTGACAGGAATAAAACATTTAAAAATTGAAAGAAAATATATACATAGACAATGCACTATCAGTCTTAAAAGAAACAACCTTAAAATGGCTTAAAATTACCATATGCTAATGAGGCAAAATTTTGACCCAATATGGGTTAAGCTCTCATAAGCGACCACCTCCTGTAAGCGGCCACCTAAGCTTGACATTTTGGGTGGTTGCTTACAGGAGGTTTGACTGTATATATATTCTGACCTTATCCTGTCATACAGGTTATCCTTTATAAACTGCCGGATTAGCAGACTAGCTTTGTCTGTTAGGATGGAATGATGAAATGGAAGAACATTTGGAGCTGTGACAAGTCTGTTCTTGATGTCTGTCAGCTGGTCCTGGTATGTCTTCAATGGAAGTGACGGGTCTTGGATGGCAAACACTTTCACCACACATAATCCTTCCCTAGTTTAATAAGAAAATCATGAGTCACATGTATAGTGAATGGTTTGAACCCAGGAGTGTCAGTAGTTCATCTTGTGTGATACATGTAGATCCTGATTATGCTATTGGGTGATACAGGAAACTGGAAGCTGCGCATATTTAAAGTGAGAGGAATGAACAAAGCTCATGGAGGAGCTTCCCACAAGCAATGATTCACTGGCTTTGCTTCATATAACTATATATGTGTCACATAATACTGACAAGACTATTCGGTTTCTGTTCAATGACTAGATGCAGTACATATGGAGAAAAGAGTCTTTCAAGGAAGAATTAAATCTATAGCAATGTCAGACAATTCTTTAATCTCTTAATATTTTTTTGATGAGAGCAAGGGGCTTATATTAAAAAAAAATCAAAACTTATCTGACATAATACATGGTACATTAGTACATTTGAATATATTTTATACACTCTGATAAAGAATAGCTTTTCTGCTAGAAAGATACCTGAAAGGATAAATTTCAGCTATTTTATAAAACAAAATTATAAAACTTTACTCCTTCTTTGGTAACATAAAGAACAGACTATTATTACTGGAGGTATTTTCATTTTAATCAAAATCTCTCAAGCAGTTATTTGGTATCAGTCACGACATTCAATAAAGACTTGTTAGATCAGAGTTTGTATCATCCAAATATGTTATGGAACTGTATAAATAATTAAAAAAAACACTTTGTGAAGTAATGAAAACTTTATAAA